TTGTAGACATGAATGGGTACTGTTCAAAAAGGCAGGCCACACAAATGTTACCATGGCAAAACTGGAAGAGTCTACAGTGTCACCCAGTATGCTGTGGCATTGTTGTAAACAAATAGGTTAAGGGCAAGATTCTTACCAAGAGGATTAATGTTCATGTTGAGCATATTAAGTGTCTAAAAGCCAAGATAGCTTCCTGATACATGAAGGAAAATGATCAGAAAAAGAAGGAAGCCAAAGAGAAAGGTACCCTGGGTTCAACAGAAGCACCAGTCTGCTCCACCCAGAGAAGCCCACTGTGTGAGAACCAACAGAAAGGAGCCTGAGCTCCTGGAACCCATTCTCTATGAATTCATGGCATAATAAGCATATCACATAGCACACAGGAGTACCAGTGGGCCCATGCTTTTAGGTACAAGAACCTATTTATTCGCCATGAGCTCATGGCATAATAGGTGTACAGCATAGCACACAGGATAACCAATAGACCCCATGTAACAGTGATACAAGGTGCTGGAACCCATTTTCCATGAATTCAAAAGTCAATCAATGCTTTGTCACATTTAATGGCAAGATGCCTCCCTGAGCTACTGGAACCTCTTCCCTATGAATTCATGGCATGATAGTTAAAAATAATAGCCTACTGCTACTGTAAAAATGTTTCTTGTTCATTCATTAAAAGTATGATTTTTTTTCCTCCAAAGAAGTATTAAGCCAAATTTCAATGTACCCTAACAATAAAAAAAAATTATTAGAAAATTAAAAATTCATTAAAATGGATTATAAGGACTATTTTTCTCTTATGAATTGGTACAATACACATTGTATTGTATTATATACCTCCTATAGGAAGTATATCAATGCATTTTTTTCTCCAGTATGCTTTTTTTTGAGACAGAGTCTCACTTTGTTGCCCTTGGTAGAGTGCTATGGCGTAACAGCTCACAGCAACCTCCAACTCTTGGGCTTAAGCAATTCTCTTGCCTCAGCCTCCCCAGTAGCTGGGACTACAGGCCCCCACCACAACACCTGGCTACTTTTTGTTGTAATTCTCATTGCTATTTTAGCTGGCCACCAGGTTTGAACCTGCCACCCTCGGTATGTGGGGCAGCGCCCTACCCACTGAGCTACAGGTGCCGCCCATCCAGTATATTTTTGTTTGGAAGAGTTAAACCTTCATTATAATTTCAATACCAAAAATTCGTTGCACATTTAGCTAAAAGGTAACTGGGTGGATGGGTGATTGGTAATCAAAAGAATGAATAGGGCAGTGCCTGTGGCTCAAAGGAGTAGGGCACTGGCCCCATATGCCGGAGGTGGTGGGTTCAAACCCAGCCCTGGCCAAAACAAAACAAAAAAGAATGAATATGTATAAATTCTATTACATTAATCAAGGGTTTCTCAGTCTTGGCACTACTGACACTTTGGCCTAGACAATTCTTTGTGGAGGAGGGCTGTTGTGTGCATTATAGGATGTTTCATAGCATCCTTAGTTCATTGCAGTTCAGCAGTGTCCTTTTTGTTGTGACAGGAAAAATGTCATTAGACATCCCAGAGTCTTCTAGGGGGCAAAATCACCCCTGGTTGGGTGGCACCTGTCCTGTGACTCAAAGGAGTAGGGCGCTGGCCCCATAAGCCGGAGGTGGTGGGTTCAAACCCAGCCCCAGCCAAAAACTGTAAAAAAAAAAAATCACCGCTGGTTGAGAACCACTTGGTTACCTAGGTAGGATTGAAGGAAATTTCTCTTTTACCTTGAGCCTCTTCACTTGAAAACTTTATTTATTATTAAAATGCCAAATTCTAATTGGCACTTTAAGTCTGATTATAGACAGCAGGAAGGAATCTGCAGTAGAAAGAACTCCGGACAGAAAGTAAAAGTTCAAATCTGCTGCTCGGCTATATGAACAGTAACATTTTCCCCTTTGAGATTTTATGCCCTCTCTACCTTATACTGCCCTGTTATCAAAATGTACTATTTGAAAAATGATAAATAATTAAAATACCTCTTAACTTTTGCAAAGTTTATAAAATATCTTCCTATAAATGATTTTGCATAATGGATACTTACAGGTAAGATAGGAGATGAGGCTAGCTGATTTGTCCAGATTTACAAAGCTGGTAAAAATCAGATGGTAAAAATCAGGACTCTCAACCAAGTCTTCTTTTTCTACTTTTTATTTACTTATGACAGAGTCTTACTTTGTTGCCCTCAGTAGAATGCTGTGGCATCACAGCTCACAGCAACCTCAAACTCTTGGGCTCAAATGATCTACTTGCCTTAGTGAGACTATAAGCACCTACCACAATGCCCAGCTAGTTCTTTCTTTCTTTTTTTTTGGCCAGGGCTGGGTTTGAACCCCCCACCTCCAGCATATGGGGCCGGTGCCCTACTCCTTTGAGCCACAGGCGCCACCCCATAGTTATTTTCTATTTTTGGTAGAGACAAGGTCTCTCTCTTGGCTTAGGCAGGTCTCAGAGCAGTCCATCTGCTTCAACCTCCCAGAGTGCTGGGATTACAGGCGTGAGCCACTGCACCCGGCCCCTTCTTTTTGTAGTACATGTTCCACCATACCTATTATTAGATGCTGTGACTGATTGATAAAGATTAATGTGTGACTGTTTCCTTGAGTATGTTGTACTTAATGCAAAAACCTTAAGCCAGAGTTGATAATATATAATTGTGACATCAGAAACCTGGAGGAGATGTCCCCTTTGTCGGTAAAATGGTTTTCCTGGTGACTGATCTAAGGTTGGTTCTAAATCATGGTCATTTACTTTTGTCTATTTAAAATTTGTAATCAACCCTATTAAAGGAGGACACATACGTTTAGAAGCAATCAAATGGCAAAAAATACCGAATTAAAATATCAGTGATATAATATCGGTCTGAATTTGCATCATCTTTATAGTTCTTGTGGTTTAGTCTTTATCTTTGACTTAGAGTTTTATGCTTCAATGTTTTTGCCTTTTAGGTAGAGTGCGGAGCTTAAGTACATCACTTTGGTCATTGACACACTTGACAGCGCTGCACTTAAATGACAATTTTCTTAGTCGCATTCCACCTGATATTGCCAAGCTTCATAATCTGGTTTACCTGGATCTGTCATCCAATAAACTCAGAAGTTTACCAGCAGAACTAGGAAACATGGTGTCTCTCAGGTGAGGAAATATAGATGTGACTGATTATATAACATTCTAAATTTAAGAAAATTAAAGATTAATACTCATCTTACAGTAGGATTTCCATGTGTGTGAAGATCAACTAATGATACAAATTGTCTAAGCACAGTTCTTGAGTTGGCTTCTATTGTACATTTCTTTGCCTTCCTTTAAATTTGGAGACTCCTAGGTAAGACAGTGAGCGTCACCAGTTTCTTTTGACAGATATGAGGTGGGATGGGGCTAAAATTTTAAGTCTCACTTCAGTCTCATGTTTGATAAGACGACATAATTGGGAAAATATGGTTTGCTGATAAGTGAAACTTTTAGGAACATATCTCTGTTATGTAAGAGAAAGTATATTTATATTTTATATTATAACTCTTTAAGACAACTTAAAACCTGATGAAACGAATTTATTTCTCATCCTTCAGAATTTTTTAAGTCCTTCAGGATTTTTCACAGGAGAAAATTTTTCAGTAGTCTTAAGATTGTAAGATTAAAGACAAATTGCTATCCGATGTATAAAATTAAGCATATTGTTTTAGAATTTTTTCTTTACCATTTGTTTTTTACTACTTTTGATCATCTACAAATGAAGGTTCAATTTATATTTTCCTGTAGTCTGCTCAAAATGTCAGTCATAAACTTAGATCTTGTTTATGCTACCCTGTCCTTCTCTGTACTGTCCTATGCCTTGTTTCAGTATTTATGTTCTGTTATAGTATTCTTGACTTTATATTTTCTGTTTCTCTTCTTTGTTATACTACTTCGTTATCTATTAATTTGTCTTTTTTCATAGTATTTTGACATGATTAGTTGGTATTCATTTTCAAAAATTGATGCAGGTGGTTGGCAACTATAGTTTAATTCTAAACTTTGTGTAAAAATTTTACTTTTTACTATTAATTAGGCTAGGTTGAGGAATTGTCAGTTGTCTTTGAATACTAATGATATCTGTCACTGTCATTTGCATTTTATAGGAATTTTAGGTGACAGAGAAAAGGGGGTGGATTTAGCCCGAGAATTGTGTGTTCTTCCTATAACTCTGTGTCAGAGAATGTGTAAATCGTAGGAACACTGTTAAAATATGTGGCAATTACACATTTTGTAGTATACTTCAATCTTGTACAGCATTTTGAGGAGAGCATATAGAAATGGGCCTTGAATGTAAACAATCTTTGTATATTAGAAGGAAGGATAAGAATGGGAAATGTAGATATCGATAAAGTTTGGTATATTAAACTAAAACAATTTTTTTTTTTTTTAACAGGGAATTGCTTTTAAATAACAATCTGTTACGGGTTTTGCCTTATGAACTTGGTCGGCTCTTCCAGCTACAAACTCTAGGTTTGAAAGGTGAGTGATTTAAAAAAAAAATGAAGGGCAGCATCTGTGGCTCAGTGAGTAGGGCGCCAGCCCCATATACCAAGGGTGGTGGGTTCGAACCTAACCCTGGCCAAACTGCAACAAAAAAAGAAAAGAAGGAAAACAGGAATATCCATGGCTCTATTAAAAAAAAAAAAAAAAAGATAGCATTAACACTCAATATTGAGGTGTTCTTTCTTGGGCTTTTCTAAAGACCATTTTGGTCTTTAAAGATGTCAGGTCAGGTTTAAGGTGTGATTTTGAGAATGTGATACTACATATACTTTCTCTTGAAAGAAGAATAGTTCTTCAGTATCAAATTGAGTTTCAAGATTTCAATATGTGCCATAATTTTAAACAAATTTGTATGAAGAACATTTTTGTATTTTACCTTTAATTTTCTATAAAACTTTGAAATTTCTTAGAGAAGATATTTTAACATTGTAGTTTTTATTATCTTTTTTTATTTCTTTATTTTTAAAGGTAAAGAGATATTTTTATTTTTAAAAATAAATGAAAAAAGGATTACTTTACATCATACTTCATGTTTGGCTTTTCAAGGAGTGAATAAAATAGCATCAACATACTCTACAAGGAAAAAGGAGTATAGCAGTCAAAATTAGCTATACCTAATACATAAAATTATTCTAAATAAAATATATTAATCCAAAATATATGCTTCTCTAACCATCATTCTCAGTCAGTTTGAGATGAAAGTCATGCTTCATTCATACACTTACTGAAAGGTGTTTAATTTTCTCCTATGCCATAGCATCTGAAGAGAGATTATTTTTGAATTCATAGAACTAAATATAAATGTTCTGTATTGGTTAAACATTATATGCTCATGGGGAATGAACATCAGTCAAAGCCTTGTAAAATATACACTTTCATACTATGTATATTTTGTTTTCCTTATTTAAAGACTATTTGAGTGTCCATGAAAATGTTCTGTTTGCATTTGTTTATGTTATATCATGGAGCATTAGGAGTGAAGTTTGAATCAGAATGGAAGGATTGCTGCAAATGACAGAAGTAAAGTTTGGCTTCCTAGAGAATTACATAACTGGTCTGAATCTTGTGTTTATAGTTTCTGTGTAGGATTTTATTGATTTATTTTTTTAATCATATAGGAAGTGGAGAGGGAGAATACTTGTATTTAAAATATTTTCCTGAAAATATTTGAAGTTGTACTGTTGAAATATTTTACCTCATTTTCTATATGCTAAATCTCTACATAGTTAAATAGGTATCCAGTTAGAATTGGTGTAGGGGCAAGTCTCTCTATAAGAAATTATGGAACAATTGTCATTTCTTTTTTTATTTTGCAGTTTTTGGTCAGGGCTGGGTTTGAACCTACCACCTCCTGTATATGGGGCCGGTGCCCCACTCCTTTGAGCCACAGGTGCTGCCCACAGTTGTCATTTTTACAATCTTAGATTTATGAAAATGAAATTCACACTTCCATACTGATTATAGTAAATTATAACTCTTTATGTCTACTCGGAATAATCCTTGGTTTTTACTTTTAACATCAGAGTAGCTATTTTCCTCCTGATCTCAATAACAAATGAATAATTTACTGTAGAGCCTAGTGGACTTACCCTTGGTACACAGCAACATTCTTTTTTGTTTTAATTATTTTTTATTAAATCATAACTTTGTACATTGATGATTTATGGGGTTCAGGGCACTGTTTCAATATACAATGTGAAATGCTTGCAACATTGAACTAAGTAACACATCCATCACAATTATACTCATTTTTAAATAGTTTTGAAATATACAATTGCATCATGCACATTAGGTGAGGTCCCCTCAAATACCCTTCCTCCTCCCACATCCCCCCTCCCGTCCTCTCTTTCTCCTCCTCTTTTCTACTTTCTAGACTATAGTTATGTTTTGCCATTCATATGAGCATGTAGGTGGTTATATATTGATTTCATAGTAGTATTGAGTACATTGGATACTTTTTTTTCCATTCTTGAGATACTTTACTAAGAAGAATATGTTCCAGCTCCAGCCAGGTAAACATAAAAATGTGAAGTCTCCATCTTTTTTAATGGCTGCACAGTATTCCATGCTGTACATGTACTACAATTTGTTAATCCATTCATGGGTCGATGGGCACTTGGGCTGTTTCCATGACTTGGCTTTTATGAATTGGGCTGCAATAAACATTCTGGTGCAAATGTCTTTGTTGTAAAATGATTTTTGATCATCTGGGTGTATACCTAGTAGAGGACTTGCAGGATCAAACAGTAGGTCTACTTTTAGTTCCTTGAGTATTCTCCAAACTTCTTTCCCAAAAGGTCATATTAGCTTGCATTCCCACCAGCAGTGTAGAAGCGTTCTCTTCTCTCTGCATCCACACCAACATCTGAAGTTTTGGGATTTTGTGATATGGGCTAATCTTAATGGAGTTAGATGATATGTCAAAGTGGTTTTGATTTGCATTTCTCTGATGATTAAGGGTGATGAGCATTTTTTCATGTGTTTGTAGGCTGTGTGCCTCTCTATATCAGAGAAGTTTCTGTTCAAGTCTCTTGCCCATGTAGAAATGAGGTTATTTATTCTTATTGAGTAGTTTGAGTTCTCTGTAGATTCTAGTTATCAGACCTTTGTCAGAAGCATAACCTGTAAAAATCTCTCATTCTGAAGGTTGTCTGTTTGCTTTGCTTACTGTGCTGTTGGCTATGCAAAATCTTTTTAGTTTGATCAGATCCCAGTAATGTATTTTTGGTGTTGCTTCAATTGCTCGGGGTGACCTCCTCATAAAATATTCTCCCAGGCTAATTTCTTCAGGTGTTTTCCCTGCACTCTCTTCTAGTAGTTTTATAGTTTTATGTCTTAAGTTTAAATCTTTTATCCAATGAGAATCAATTTTTATTAATGGTTAAAGGTGGGGGTCCAGTTTCAGTCTTCTACAGGTCACCAGCCAGTTCACCCAGCACCATTTGTTAAATAGAGAGTCTCCCCCACTGAATATTTTTGATAGGCTTGTCAGATATCAAATGACAGTAAGCAGCTGGGTTCATCTCTTGGTTCTCTATTCTGTTCCATAAATCTACTGCTCTGTTTTTGTGCCAGTACTGTGCTGTTTTGATCACTATAGATTTATAGTGTAGCCTGAAGTCTGGTAATGTGATACCTCCTGATTTGTTCTTATTTCTGAGTAATGTATTTGCTATTTGAGGTTTTTTTCTGATCCCATATAAAACGAAGTACTATTTTTTCAAGTTCTTTAAAGTGTAACAATGGTGTTTTAATAGGAATTGCATTAAATCTGTAGATTACTTTGGGTAGTATGGTCATTTTAACAATGTTGATTCTTCCCAGCCATGAGCATGGTATGTTTTTCCATTTGCTAACATCTTCAGCTATTTCTCTTCTCAGAGTTTCATAGTTCTCTTTATAGAGATCTTTCACGTCCTTTGCTAGGTAAATTCCCAGATATTTCATCTTCTTTGGCACTATTGTAAAAGGAATAGAGTCCTTGATTGTTTTTTCAGCTTGACTATTGTTAGCATATATAAAAGCTACTGACTTGTAAGTATTGATTTTGTATCCTGAGACACTGCTGTATTCCTTGATCACTTCTAAGAGTATTGAAGTTGAGTCCCTGGGATTTTCCAGGTATAGGATCACATCATCAGCAAAGAGTGAGATGAAAGAGTGAGTCCTCTGACTCTATTTGAATACCCTTGATCGCTTTCTCTTGTGTAATTGTATTGGCTAAGACTTCCATTACTATGTTAAATAGCAGTGGAGACAGTGGGCATCCTTGCCTGGTTCCTGATTGGAGTGGAAATGTTTTCAGTTTTACACCATTCAATATAATATTGGTTGTGGGTTTGCTGTAGATGGCCTCTATCAGTTTAAGAAATGTCCCTTCTATGCCTGTTTTCTTAAGAATTCTAATCATGAAAGGATGCTGGATATTATCAAAGGCTTTTTCTGTGTCAATTGAGAAAATCATATGGTCTTTGTTTTTTATTTTATTGATGTGATATATTATAGTTATAGATTTGCGTATGTTGAACTAATCCTGTAACCCTGGAATAAAACCAGCTTGATCATGGTGTATAATTTTTTTGATGTGTTGTTGAATTCTGTTTGCTAAGATCTTATTGAATATTTTTTTTTTTTTTTTTT